TATCATAGCGATGAAGATGGAGAATAGAGTTGGGGCAATAACACATCATTCCTGTTTGACACCCGATTCCACTTTAAATGGGTCACTTTGGGAGCCATGGCTGTCCAAGACTGTTGCCATCATGTCATCATGGAGGAGCCACAGGATGTTCACAAATTTGCTTGGGCACCCGATTTTGTGGAGGATGGTCCAGAGAGCGCTGCGATTCACTGTGTCGAATGCCTTTGCGAGGTCGATGAATGCCATGGACAGAGGTTGGTTTTGCTCCCCTGCCTTTTTCTTGGAGCTGTCGTGCAGTGAAGATCATGTCCACGGTTCCTCTGGAGGGGTGGAAGCCGTTCTGGGATTCTGGGAGGGGTCTTCTGAGAGGGGCAGAAGGACAAGTACGCTGGACCGGAACCGTGTAGTGCTTTATAGGTCAAAACCAGCCCTTTGAATGGTGCTCGGAACTGGACCGGCAGCCAGTGGAGCTGACACAACCGGGCGGGGGGGGGGGGGGGGGGGGGGGTATGCTCCTGATAGGACGCTCCAGTGAGTAATCTGGCCGCTGCCCATTGGACTAGTTGGAGTTTCCGAGAAGTCTTCAAAGGCAACCCCACGTAGAGTGCATTGCGGTAATCTATTGTTGACCGAAAGGTCGCAGGTTCAAATTTGGGGAGCAGCGTGAGCTCCCGCTGTTAGCCCTAGCTCCTGCCAACCTAGCAGTTCGAACACATGCAAACGTGAGTAGATCAATAGGTACCGCTCCAGCGGGAAGGTAATGACGCCCTTGATGGTTTGGAGGGGAGGATACGTCCAGACGGGTAAACTGGGCCGGAAACGTAAAGGGTTGGTGTGTTTTTGCACATCTGCCTGTCTGCAACGAAGAAATGCTTCGCAGGCTGGATTCAGTTCCTAGTGCGCAGGGCTCGGGCTTGCCTTCACATCGTTGATATGCACAGTCATCCGAGGGGGAACCAGGCACAAGGGCAGGACGTGGTGGCCGGATTTGCGCAAGAGGTAGTTTCCCTTGGATGGGCAGAGGAATCTTGCATTACATATCATTAGGATTATTACCCTATTATATTATATATTATATTATTATATTAAATATTATTATATTATATATTAATAGTATTATTATATTAATAGTATTATTACTTTATTATATTTTATATTATTATATTATTATTATATACATCACGTATACACATACGTACACAGGCTGTCCCTGAGTTACAAACATTTGACTTACAGACGACTCATACCTAAGGACGGGGGTGAGACAACGTGAAGTGAGAAGAACCTTATATTATATATTATTACTTTATTAGGAGTCCCCAGTGGCACAGTGGGTTGTGCCAGCATAATATTATGTATTATTAATATAATAATAATAATAATAATAATAATAATACTTATAATAATAATAATAATTAATATAATTATTAATATAATAATTAATATAATACTATTTACAATAATATTAGTTACAAACATTTGACATAAAACGACTTCTAGTTAAGAAAGGGCCCGAGGCAGCTGGAAGTGAAAGAAATCTTATATGTCATTATTATTATTATTATTATTATTATTATTAATATTATATTTATTTATTTATTTATCGTGTCATCAACAACCATTGTATTACAATTCTAACAGAGCAAAGAGAGATTAAAAAGAAAAAGGAAAAATTTGGTATTTGGTTAAATGTCCTTTGACCAGTCTCTGTCCCCGTGGAGTGCCTCTGGTGTTGCCGCAAGAAGGTCCTCCCTTGTGCATCATGTGGAAGAAGGGCTCAGGGTGCATTGCAGCAGGTGGTCAGTGGTTGGCTCTTCTCCACACTCGCATGCCGTGGATTCCACTTTGTGGCCCCACTTCTTGAGGTTGGCTCTGCATCTCGTGGTGCCCGAGCGCAGTCTGTTCAGCGCCTTCCAGGTCGCCCAGTCTTCTTCTGTGTGCCCAGGGGGGAGTCTCTCATCTGGTATCAGCCATGGATTGAGGTGCTGGGTTTGGGCCTGCCACTTTTGGACTCTCGCTTGCTGAGATGTTCCAGCAAGTGTCTCTGTAGATCTAAGAAAACTATGTCTTGATTTAAGTCGTTGGCGTGCTGGCTGATACCCAAACAAGGGATGAGCTGGAGATGTCTCTGCCTTTGTCCTTTCACTACTGGTTGCTACTTCCCGGCGGATGTCAGGTGGTGCGATACCAGCTAACCAGTGTAATTTCTCCAGTGGTGTAGGGCACAGACACACCGTGATAATGCGGCATGTCTCATGAAGAGCCACATCCACTGTTTTAGCGTGGTGAGATGTGTTCCACACTGGGCATGCGTACTCAGCAGCAGAGTAGCATAGCGCAATATAATATAATGTTATATAATATAATATATTATACTATTATATATATAGCTGGAGTTCCACTTTAAAAATGTTTCTGTTTTGACTTACATACAAGTGTTGACACCCACAAACCCTCTCTTGTTCATAGCTTGGGGGCTGCCTGTATTATTATTATAATATATTATACATTATATTATAATTATATATATAGGTTTCTAATTGTGTCACGGTGTCATTGCTTTAATGTTCTATTGTTTTGCTTGATGTTTTATTATTTGCTTTTGAGTTTTACTGTGTATTGTATGTTGTTGTTGCCATCGAGTCCTTCGGGAGATTTTGCGGGGTATAAATAAAGTTAATAATAATAATAATAATAATTATTATTACTATTATTCCCTGTTG